GCAAACCTTACAATCTGTTAATCACTTAAATATGTATATTGGAATTTCTGATTGGCTTTAATATTTCGGTTCCCAGTCTTAACTTATATACGTTAGGCCTCTCATATTACTGGGTAAAATCTCCAGATTCTGCTAATTGCATCAATAAAGGTTTATTGTTTCCCATAAAATGCTTTAATGAGTTTTTATTAGTCATAGGTTCATTTATTTAAAAAATTTTATTGTAGTCGTAATTCTCCATCAAAATTCATTTAATGATCACTAGTTTATATATAATGTTGAGGATGGAAAGACTGGGATTAAAAGCTACTTAATGATGTTTTTCCCTGAGCAGAGTGGTCAGATGAATGTTTTCGAACCCTTGAAAGAGGATTGCAAAGAACCTGACCTGAATATGCAAACATTTCTAGTTGGACCCACAACTGCTCACATTTCATAGATTTCTGGTATTAATAATAAAAAAATTAAAAAATAGCTACTAACTTATGTGCCATGTGTCAGGTACTATGCTAAGCATCCATACAGAAAGTGAGGTGATAATGCCATTGCTATTGTTAGCTTTAAAAAATCATACAATCTATAAATGTAGCAAAGGAGACTTTATTTCTTCTAAAGGGTTACAGTCTTCAGGGTGGCCATCCCACAGGCTGGGAAGCAAGCTCCCAGCCAAGAGCAGACGCAGGCACTTGGAAGGGGGAGCAGCTGGGGTAGGAGCTTTATGCTGAAGGGGTTGGCTAAATATACCTATTTAACAGATCACAGGAGGGGTTATGAAAATTCGTGAAGATGGTCCTGACATACATATATTGAACAGACATGCATGTAACATATGACCTATGTTTATTTGGGGGTAGAAACTTAACATTTAAATGTATTACAATTAGACCCTGTACATCAAAAGTCTTTCAGGATATGAAGGCCCGCAAGTGCACAGCCTCTGTAAACCATCCAGAACCAGTTCATGGTCTTTTAATCAGGAGAAAGTTACTAAAATCAGTCTCTTGTGCAATCAAAGCTGTAGTTATGGCTGGTGGAACAGAGGGTCTCAGCTAGTCAGTGTCTGATGGTAGATGAGCTGCAATTGCTTCAGCACTGCTTATCTCAAGGCCAGTGATTGTTTAGCTGCTAGAGAAAAAGAAAACCCTGTGGCAGTTATAACAGAGTTGATTCTTTAAGTGTAGGGGTGTGTGACTTCAGCCTCGCCTGGCATGGCCTTAGGTCCTGTTTATAATGTGGTATAGTATTGCTACAAAGAGTCTGTTCTGCCAGTCTTATGATCTCCATTTAAACATTAGTGCTGGTCATTTGTTGTGTCTAAACCATGAGAGGGAGAGGGTATAACGATGTGTGTCTGACCTCCTGTCCCATCATGACCAGAAACTCGGTTTAAAGGTTTTTCTGAAGTCCCCTTGGCTAAGAAGAGCTCTATTTAGTCAGTGGGTGGCTTAGAACTTTTTTTTAGTCTATGCTTATCTATAGATTAGGACGCTGAGGCTTCAAAAAATTAAATGACTTGCCAAGGTGACACAGATGTAACAGATCCCAGATTCACACCCAAATCTTTCAGAAATCAAAGCCTTTCCTCCTAATGGCTATACTTGTGCCTAGTCTGAGGACTCCAGAGATTCCTGAGGGGGGACCTTTCCAGGGGCTTTTCCAACCACACTTGAGGCCACATCCTCTTATACCTCAATCAAAACAACATAGCAACTCCAGAGGAAGATTCAGCTGTCTTTTTTTAAAGCCAGACATTAAAGAGCCTTGCAAAATTGTAAAACAGTGCAACTCTTCTCATGAAACATTTGTTTCATTTTGAAAAGTATAATTATTTGTCATAAATATATGTGATGTTAACATGTAATAAATTTATTTCACGTTGAGCATCTCTACTCTGAAAATTCAAAATCTGAATTGCACCCAAATCTGAAACTTTTTTATTTTTTGAGACGAGTCTCGCTCTGTTGCCTGATCTCCACTCACTGCAACCACCGCTTCGTGGGGTCAAGATATTCTCCTGCCTCAGTCTCCCGAGTAGCTAGGACTACAGGCATGCACCACCATGCCCAGCTAGTTTTTCTATTTTTAGTAGAGAGGGGGTTTCACCATGTTGGCCAGGCGGGTCTCAAACTCCTGAGCTCGGCCAGGTGCGGTGGCTCACGCCTATAATCCCAGCACTCTGGGAGGCCAAGGCGGGTGGATCACAAGGTCAGGAGATCGAGACCATCCTGGCTAACACAGTGAAACTCCGTCTCTACTAAAAAATACAAAAAATTAGCTGGGCGTAGTGGCGGGCGCCTGTAGTCCCAGCTACTCAGGAGGCTGAGGCAGGAGAAAGGCGTGAACCTGGGAGGCGGAGCTTGCAGTGAGCCAAGACCGTGCCATTGCACTCCAGCCTGGGCGATAGAGCAAGACTTTGTCTCAAAAAACAAACAAACAAACAAACAAAAAAACTCCTGAGCTCAAGTGATCCACCCGCTTCCACCTCCCAAAAAGCTGGGAATATAGGCGTGAACCACCATGCCCAGCAAAATCCGAAACTTTTTGAGAACCAATATTAGACTCAAAGGAAATGCTCATTGGAGTATTTCAGATTAAGGATGCTTAACCATCAAGTAAAATGCAAAATTCAAAAATATCTGAAATCCAAAACACTTCTTGTCCTAAGCATTTCAGATAATGGGGTACTCAACCTATATTAAAAAAAAAAATTAATGTACACATGTTTTTAAATTCTCAGTTATAATTTATAATTTGTTAAATGTTGGCATATGTAACTCATAGACATGAGTTACATATTTATAATTTGTTAAATGTTGGCATATGTAACTCAGCAATCTCTATTAATTTTGGGGACACAGAGGGGACATGAGGGGTGCCGAGACCAAAATGTTTGAGAATTGCTGCATTACACAGTTGTTTCTGTGGGAGTTTGTGCTGTCAGCTAGGCTTCCTTCTGTGGGTGGCACACAGGTGCTGAGGCAAGAGACCGAGGACATGAGCTGTTCCAGTATAATAAAATATATAAAATAAGAATAGTAATACTAGATATAGATAATAGATTACATATGAATATCATTAATCATTAGTTTGTAGCGATTACTCTTCATTCCAATATTACAATAATCCTCGCTCTACAATCATAACCTAGGAAAAATCAAGCCATACAGAGATAGGAGCTGAGGGGACATAATGAGAAGTGACCAGAAGACAAGAGTGCGAGCCTTCTGTTATGCCCGGGTAGGGCCACCAGAGGGCTCCTTGGTCTAGCAATAATGCCAGCATCTGGGAAGATGCCAGTCGCCAAGTGGACCGTGGTCTAGCGGGAGCGTCAGTGTCAAGGAAAAACACCCGCTACTTAGCAGACGGGGAAAGGGAGTCTCCCTCTCCCCAGGGGACTTTAGAGAAGACTCTACTCCTCCACCTCTTGTGGAGGATCTGACATCAGTCAGGCCCGCCCACAGTTATCCGAAGGTCTAACCGTCTCCCTGTGATGCTGTGCTTCAGTGGTCACGCTCCTAGTCGGCCTTCATGTTCTATCCTGTACACCTGGCTCTGCCTTTTAGATAGCAGTAGCAAATTAGTGAAAGTACTAAAAGTCTCTGATATGCAGAAATAATGGCATAAGCTGTCTCTCTCTCTCCTCTCTTTCTCTCTGCCTTGGCTGCCAGGCAGGGAAGGGCTCCTTGTCCAGTGGACACGTGACCCAAGTCACCTTACCTATCACTGGAGATGGCTCACACTCCTTACCCTGCCCCTTTGTCTTGTATCCAATAAATAAGAGTGCAGCCTGGCATTCGGGGCCACTACCGGTCTCCGCGTCTTGGTGGTAGTGGTCTCCCAGGCCCAGCTGCCTTTTCTTTTACCTCTTTGTCTTGTGTGTTTATTCCTACAATCTCTCATCTCCGCACATGGGGAGAAAAACCCACCGACCCTGTGGGGCTGGAACCTACATCCTTCTGTGTTCATCGTCTAGGGAGTTCATTCTTTACCACTTTTCCTTCTTAGATTAGTTTGTTTTGTTCGTTTGTTTTTTGGCTGGGTCTAACATTCAGTTCTTCTCTTTCTTCCTTAGAGAGAGAGCGAGCCATTTCCTTGCCATAGCAATTTTTGAAGTCTGTTTTCCCAGTGCCATTTAAGGGGGCTTATCCATCAGAGCACTGAGAGGGTGGGTCTTTGGTGAGTGGATTTACCTGCTTTCCTTCTTCTCCTTGTGCCAGCATCATGAGTCCTTGGGAGACTTCGGGAGGGCTAGGTTTCACTGCAGTTATTGATGCCAGGTACCCGGGTGTATTAATTAATCATCATCATCATCATCACCATCACAGCAAGAATTCTGGGCACTTACCATGTGCTCAGCCCTGTGCTAAGCTTTATATCACACTTCACAGAGTTCCCCTCAAATCCTCAAAACAGCCCTGTAGTGTAGATATTATTCCCATTTGCTAGGTGAGCAAACTGAGGCTTCAAGAACTGTGGTTTCACACAGCTAAGAAGTTGCCAGAGGCAGCTTTTGAATCCCTGGTCAGGCTTCTGTGTTTAGATAACCTGAAATTCCTGTTGCTAAGCATGACTTTCTCATCAGACCTTACACTTCCGTGTTGCACCAAGATGATGATGACTTCCTCCGACCATTAGTATTTCGTTTTGATTTCTCCTTTTTTGACATTTTCAACACATGGGTTTGATCTATGTTACCTAACATGCAACACAGTTCACAAAGCACCACGTGTTTTTAGATCCTTGTTGGACATCCAGAAAGAAGGCTTTAGCATCAAAGGATCAAGAAGTCCTTTCACTTCGAGAGGCAATGGCTTCAACAGTGAAGGTGCAGTGAGGATGATTCCCGGGGGACTGACTGTCACATAGCTGGGTGTGGGATCTGGCAGAGGAGGGTTGAAATACATCCTGTTCCCTGGAACAACACGTTGGGGCATGAAACCCTCTTGGCATGTTAATGACGGTGTCATTAGCAGCTGTAGTATCGTTTATGTCTTCCACAGTTCTGAGAAAAAGTACTGCTCTGGCACTGGGTGGCCTTCATTTTCCGAGGCCCATGGTACGTCTGGCTCTGATGAAAGCCACACAGGGATCCTGAGACGTCTGGACACCTCGTTAGGATCAGCTCGCACAGAGGTCATCTGCAAGCAGGTGAGATTTCTTATTTTGTTTTACTTTCCCTGATGCTGCCCCAAGTACCACAAACAGCTCTCTTGTTCTTGGCAAATCTGGTGTCTTTTTCTAGGGGTACTTTTGTCTTCAGAACACATGGGATTCCCTTTTTGTTTTGTGTTGTTTTGAGACAGAGTCTCGCTCTGTTTTCCAGGCTGCAGTGCAGTGACACGATCTCAACTCACTGCAGCCTCTACCTCCTGAGTTCAAGTGCCTCAGCCTCCCAAGTAGTTGGGATTACAGATGCCTGCCACCACACCCAGTAAATTTTTGTATTTTTAGTAGAGACGGGGTTTCACCATATTGGCCAGGCTGGTCTCAAACTCCTGACCTCAAGTGATCCACCTGCCTCGGCCTCCCAAAGTGCTGGGATTACAGGCCTGGGCCACCGCATCCAGCCCAGAACACATAGGGTTTCTACATATGCCAGTAATGATCACTCTCTCCCTTCTGGGCACTGCAAAAAAGAGAAAAGGCTTCTCCAGCTTCTCTCTAATGTGGCTTTTCCTAGTTCTAACCTTCCACAGAGATGAGAACAGAGGTAGGATCTTCACCTTCTTTTGAGCAGGGATAAGGAGCAGGAAGCCCTTATCCTGCCATAGTAGATATGGCAGGATATTTGACTTACCCAGTGTGGCTGGCACCTCCATCTCCCCAACCTCCTTTTGCACCCAGCAGCATGTCACTGGCCGGCAGAGCCATGCTGTGGGTGACATCAGCATCTGTGCCTTCTGTTAGCCCAGTAGGGGAGAGTGGCTTAAATCCAGATCACAAATTCATTTTGATATCCTTAGCTGCTCATGTTTTCTGACTCATGAGTTTTGTAAAATACTAGAGGCAAGCTGATTAAGATAGCGTGGTTTTGCTTTATGTGACAAATAATAATAATACACTGGGTACTACGATATTATTCAGTACTTACCCAGGAATTATGTTAATGCTTTGCGTGCAATATATCAATCAATTGTCCCCACCGCTCTCTTATGTAGGTAAGATAATTATCCCCATTTTTAGATGAGTAACTCTAAAGGCCCAAATTTAATAACTTGCTCACATCCTATTGATAAAGTAAAACTATTTGCCGTGACTGTGTTCTGCTTTCTTTCATTTCTTAATTGAATTCGGATGCAATAGACTTTTCTCCTAACACAGATGTCAGACTCCGGAGTGGAGTGATTTTCGGGGGGTTCGTCTGTCTGGTTTTACATAAAGAGCTTTGTTTGCATTTGAAGATGACGGAGGCTTCTGTCCTTTGCAGTGTGAAGCTCATCTAGGTCACGTGTTTCCTGATGGACCTGGGCCCAATGGTCAGAGGTTTTGCATCAACAGTGTGGCTCTGAAGTTCAAACCAAGGAAACACTGACTATCTTCAAGAGTCCCGTTCCCTTGCCACCGCTTCATGTGCACTCTCAATTTCCATAATTCACTTAAATGACTTGCTTTGTTTGCAGTAAAACTGGCCTGAGTTTGCCGCTGTCTCCAGCGAGTCACTGCTTCTCTTAATTGATTTACCTGGAATCAACTTAATCCTGTGTGTTAGGCTGTTCTTGTGTTGCTATAAAGAAGTACCTGATCAGGATCTGGAAGAATTTGGAAAAAGAAAAAAAAAAAAAAAACTGGAAAAATAAACAAAATTAAAAAGAAAAAAAGTTTCGTTTCCCTTAAGGGATACTTTTAGTTAATTTAATATCTATAGAAACAATGCTAATGACTGGTTTGCTGTTGATAAATATGTGGGTAAATCTCTGTTTGGGGCTCTCAGCTCTGAAGGCTGTGAGACCCGATTTCCCACTTCACAGCTCTATATTTCTGTGTGTGTGTCTTTAATTCCTCTAGCACCGCTGGGTTAGGGTCTCCCCGACTGAGCTGGTCTCAGTAGGGATCCACCCTCATGAGCCAATTACCTCCCAGCAGGGCCCAACTCCAGCACTAGGAATTATACTTCAACATGAGATTTGGAGAGGGTAAACATCCAAACCATATCGCCCCAACTGCCACTTGGAGTAGAACTTCACAGAATGACAGAGGGACAGCTGTTTCCATCAAACACTTCCACAGCTTCGCCTGGGACAAGGGCGTGACTCTGGGAACATCAGGAGGCTGACTGGACTACTAAGGCAAACAATTCCTACAAAAATTCCCTGCACCTGCCACTGCAGTTCAGTCCTTGATAGACATAAGTGAGGGATCAAGTGAGAAGAGGAGGGAAAATACAGGATCCAAGGAATCAACAATGCTAGCACTGAAGAGCAGGATTGCGGAGGAGCTGTGCTCTGGGAACGCAGATGGTGATCGATCAGATGCATGACTTCTTTTCAAAATTTTAAATGTGTTGAGCATGCTACTTCCAACCGTTCTACCCACAAATAAACTGCAATAGGACTCGGTTAGATTTCAATGATTATGAATAAATGTTCACCTTCATACCTTCTGGTTACAAAGCTAAACTTTAAAATGTGCAAATAAAATATTCACTAAAATTTATGTTTGCTTTTTGGCTAAGTCAATGAATGTGCTCTTTTATAAAAAAGACTCTAGCCAGGCCCGGTGGCTCACACCTGTAATCCCAGCACTTCGGGAGGCTGAGGCAGGTGGATCACCTGAGGTCAGGAGTTGAAACCACCATGACCAAAATGGAGAAGCCCTGTCTCTACTAAAAATACAAAATTAGCCGGGCATGGTGGCGCATGCCTGTAACCCCAGCTACTCGGGAGGCTGTGGCAGGAGAATCGCTTGAACCCGGGAGGCGGAGTCAAGATCACGCCATTGCACTCCAGCCTGGGCAACAAGAGCAAAACTCCGTCAAAAAACAAAAACAAACAAACAAAACCCCTCTAAATTAAAAATGACAAATAAGAATTGGCTCACATGGTAGCAGGCATTTGGTTATACCAGGACTAATATCTACTCAAGTATTTCACAAATCAAGAGTGTTGAATCATTTGTTACTGAAAGTATATAAATCATTCTCTTTGTGACTTTATGGGCAAAAAGGAAACTTCTTTATACTATTTTTCTCTTTATAAAGTTCTTATATATTCTTTTACATTTCTTTTAGCAGCTACTATGGAAATTACAACATGCTTCCTTGTTACCATCATATGAATTATTGCTTATTTTGCGTTCTCCAGGAATGTTAGCCTTAGAACACTTTATTTACATCCTCTCATATTTTGTTTTACTATTCTCATGTATTTCATTTCACACACATTTTACAGTCCCCAAAACCATTATAATAATATACTAAAATATGTACTTATACTAATAATTAGTATATAATAAATTAGTATAAAATATATAATATACACTAATATGTATACTAATAAATATATACTAATATATAATATATAACATACTAATATATAATAATATGTTATTAGTATATATGGTTGATACTCATTTATATTTACCTACATATTTGCCCCTTTTGTTGCTCTTTTATTTCTTCCTATAATTCTGTGTTTCCCGGTGTGATTATTTTTCTTCGGCCTGAAGAACATTTTTTTGTTTTTTTGAAATGGAGTCTCACTGTGTCACCCAGGCTGGAGTGCAGTGGTGCGATCTCGGCTCACTGCAACTTCTGCCACCCCCGGTTCAAAAGATTCTCCTGCCTCAGCCTCCTGAGAAGCTAGGATTACAGACACCTGCCACCACACCCGGCTAATTTTTGTATTTTTAGTAGAAAGGGGGTTTCACCATCTTGGCCAGGCTGGTCTTGAACTCCTGACCTTGTGATCCACCCGCCTCGGCCTCCCAAAGTGCTGGGATTACAGGCGTGAGTCACCATGCCCAGCCAAACTTCTTTTATTTTTCCCATTAGTTCATATTTCCTAGTGATGATTTTTTTTCAGTTTTTGTCGGTGAGAAAACGTATTTATTCTCCTTTTATTCTGAGGAATATTTTCCCTGAGTATAGAGTTCTAATTTGGGGAATTAGAATTTTTTCCTCTACAGATAGCCAATTATCCCAGCATCTTTTACTGAAGACTTGACATTTTTCAAAAAATTAATTTCCATATTAGCATGGGTCTATTTCTGGACTCTCTATTCTGTTCCATTGATTTATCTATTCCTATGGCATTTACACCACACTGTATTGATTATTATAGGTTCATAGCAAGTCTTGAAAATCTTATGGCATTTATACCACACTGTATCAAAATTCTAGGTTTATAGCAAGTCTTGGCTAGTTGTTTTATGCTAAAACAATTTTGAAAAAAGAACACAGTTGGAAAACATAACCAAAACATGTGCATTTCCACATAAATTTTAGAATTTGCTTGGAAATTTCTACAAAAAGTCTTGCTGGGATTTTGATTGGTATTGCATTGATATATCAATCTGGGGAGAACTGGAATCTTAAAAATATTGAATGTGCCAGTCCATGAGCCTGGTATGTTTCTCTGTTTATTTAAGTATTCTTTAGTTTTTCTTTAAATATTTTGTAGTTTTTAGTATGTGTGTCTTGCACATATTTTGTTAAATAATGCCAAAATATTTTAATTTTCTTAATACTGTCATAAATTGAATTGTTATTTACATTTTTTTCTATTTTTTTCACTATATATAGAAATACAATTAATTTTTGTGTTTTGAACATGTATCCTGCAACTTTACTAAACTGACCTATATTAATCCTTGTAACTTTTTTCTGGATTTCTTAGAGGTTTGTATATACAAAATCATGTTGGCAAATAGGACAGTTTTACCTCTTCTTTGCAATTTGCCTTCTTCTTTTTGTTGCCTTATTCACTATCTGGGTCTTACAATACAAATTTAAATGCAAATAGTGAGAGTGGATATCCTTGCTTTGCTTTGTTTGTGATTTTAGGTAGAAAATATTAAATCTTTACCATTGAGTTTGACATTAGCTGTAGATTTTTTTTTATAACCTTAATTGGATGAGGAAGATTTCTATTCCTAGTTGCTGAGAGATTTAGTCATGAAAGAGTGTTGATTTTTATCAAATATTTTTTCTGCATCCATTTAAATAATTATGTGGTTCTTTTTCTGTTTTCTATTAATATGGTAGATTATATTGATTGATTTTCTGTCAAGCCAACCTTGCATTCTGAGATGAACCCCACTTGGATATGATAGATAGTATTCTTTTTACATGTTATTAGTTTTTATTTGCTAGTATTTTGTTAGGAACTTTTTGTTTCTATGCTCATGAGTAATATTGCTCTGTAGTTCTATTATCTTGTGGTGTATTTGATTTTATAATAAAGGTAATGTTAGCCCCATAAAACGATGTGGGAAATGCTCCCTCCTCTTTTATATTTTGAAAACGTTGGTGTGAGATTGGTGTCATTTCTTCCTTAAATAACTGGTGGAATTCCCCAGTGAAGTGATTTAGATCTGGAGTTTTCTATTTGGGAAAGTTTTTATTATTAATTTAATTTACTTAATTTATATAGGGCTGCCAAATTTTCCTGAAGCAGTTTTGGTAAATTTTGCTAGATTGTCAAGCTTATCAGCATGGAATTGTTCACAGTATGCCCTTATTGTTCTTTTCATGTCTGAAGTGCATGTAGAAAAACCCCTTTTTTCATTCCCAATATTGGGGATTTGTCTCTTCTGTTTTCTTCACTAGTCTGGCTACAGCTGGTCAGTTTCATTGAATTTATTTCCAAAACATGGCTTTTGGTTTTATTGATTTTTCTCTTTTTTTATTTTTATTTGTTTTGAGATGGAGTCACTCTGTTGCCTAGACTGGAGTGCAGTGGCATGATCTCGGCTCACTGCAAGCTCTGCCTCCCCAGTTCACGCCATTTATCTTTTCTATTTTATTGATTTTTACCCTTTATCCTTTCCTTCCTTTTGTTTACTTTGAGCATAACTTGCACTTATTTTTGTAATTTCTTAAGGTGAAAGCTTAGATCATTGAGCTTTAGACTTTGCTTATTTTCCCACATAGGGATTTAAAGCTACACTTTTCCCTGTATGCTCTGTTTTACCCTACATCCCACAAATTTTGATATGCTTTCATTATCATGTGTATATGATATACTATCAACATATTTTCTAATATTACTTGTGACTCTTCTTTGATCTAGTGATTACTTAGAAGTATGTCAAAGTCCAGATATTTCAAATTTTCCTGGTTATCTCATTATTATTGAATTCCAGTTTAATCCTTTGTGGACAGAGAACATAGTCTGCGTGATTTTAAACTATTCAAATTTACTGAGATGTGTTTTGTGCCCAAAATATGGCGTGTCTTGACAAACACACCAGGTGCACTTGAAAATAATGTGTATTCTGCCAGTTTTGGTGAAGTGTTCTATAAATATCAAGTCAAGTTGGGTGATAATATTGTTTGAAACTTCTATGTCTTTACTGATTTTCTGGTCTAATTGTTCTAGTAGTTGCTAGGTAGAGATGTTAATATTTCCAGTGATGTTTGTGGAACTGTCTCTTTTGCCTTTCATTCTGTCAGTTATTTGCTTCATGTATTTTTGCTTCATATACTGGGTGCATACAAATTTTGATTGTTGTGTTGTCCTTGACAATAAGACTTTTATCATTATGGAGTAATGAAATTATATGATAAAACATTTCTTATTGTGATATAATTGACATAACATAAAATTTCATATAATATAAAATTCTCCACTTAAAAATATGCAGTGTACATTTTGTCTTAAGTATATCTTATCTGATATCAGTATAGCCAGGCTAGCCTTTTGATGTCTGCCATTTGCATGGCGTATTTTTCCATCCATTTTCTTTCAACCTATTTGTGTACATATTTGCAGGATCTTCTCTAATAAACATTATTATAGTTGGGTCTTGGTGTTTTTCGTTTTTTGGGTTTTTTCCGTCCATTTTGACAATCTCTGCCTTTTAATTGAATTGTTTAGTTGATTAACACTTAATTCAATCATTCATATGCTTGCATTTGGGATCTGTTTTATTTTTTAATTTTGTCTCTGCTGTTGTTTTTCCTTTGTTCCTTCTTTTGTGATTTTTATTTTTGAATTCTTTGAATATTTTTCAGAATTCCTTTTTAATTTTCCTGTTGTCATTTAGCTAGACTTCTTAATTTTTTTTCTTTTTTTAGTGGTTGTGGAAGGAATACACACACACACACACATACACTTAACTTTTCACTGGGTGCTTATAATGATTACTTCACTACTTCACATAAAATATAGAAATTTTGCAACCCCATTAGTCCATATTCCTTTTAATAGTTTTTATATGTAGTCATCTATAACATTACAAACCCCACAAGACCATGTTATAATTTTTAAAATGTGGTTTATTAAAATAATTAAGAGGTAAAAAGCAAAAAGGAAAAAAAAAAACAAACTTGTGTTTAGCCAGGTACTTGCCATTACTCATGCTTTTTATTATTTTCAGAGAATCCAAGTTTCTATGTGATTTTTCTCCAGACTGAACAACTTTCTTTAGTATTTCTTATAGTGCAAGTTTGCTGGTAACTAATTCTGTAACTTTTTTTTTAAATGAAATTGTCT